CTCAAAGAACGTGAGCTTTAAACAGGCATGGTGGAAGCACTAGGGAACTGGGGAAGGGCAGGTAGTCACGTTAAGAGGAAGCTGCTCCCATGGATATGCGATCCAGACCTGCTCTGGGAACTGCAGTTCAACAGCTGGAATAGAACCCCTCTATGTGCTATGAGCCATGCTACAGAATGCTCTGGCAGAACTGGTTGGAGGAGAGGCTAAGGGTAGGGGAATCCTGACAGGAAGCCACTGCAGGATTCCAGGTGAGAAATGAACAGGAACTGTACCCTAAGGACTGGGGGTAAGGACCGAGTTGAGATTTAGGTATCAAAATACAAGACTCTGCCATTGAGATGTAGCAAACTAGAGATATGAGCCATGCTACAGAATGCTCTGGCAGAACTGGTTGGAGGAGAGGCTAAGGGTAGGGGAATCCTGACAGGAAGCCACTGCAGGATTCCAGGTGAGAAATGAACAGGAACTGTACCCTAAGGACTGGGGGTAAGGACCGAGTTGAGATTTAGGTATCAAAATACAAGACTCTGCCATTGAGATGTAGCAAACTAGAGAGAAGAAAAGGGAAGGATTTTTTTTTTCTTGGTGGGAAGTCAGATCTGCTCAAAGAAAAACCTTGATGGGACCAGCAGTTAGCGTAATGGCTATGTCACTGGACTCCCACTTAATCAACCGCGGTTCGGCGTCCCAGACCCGGTGGCTTAAACTCACATCGGGAGCATGTGCGTGCGTGCCCAAGATCCAGAGAGGAGAAGGGATTGTGGCATGGCCATCCTCCTCCATCCTCCTCTCGGGATCTTGGGCGCACACGCACACGCTCCCGCGTGAGTTTAAGCTACCGGGTCCGGGACTCAAACCACGGTCGACTACGTGGGAGTCCAGTGAGTCCAGCCAAGGCTGAACACCCCAAACGACAACCCGACGACTATTTCTTTTCTTCCATCTTGCCTCTGCTTTTCCCTCCACCTCATGGCGTCTCCTGCTCTAGTCCGAAGGGAACTCCTATCCTTCGACATCAGCTCACGGGGTGGTGATAGGAACAGCATTCCCGTGCATTTCGTGCTCTGCTAGTTGTCACGTGGATTTTGCAGGGTGGACAAGCTGCTCTAAGGCTCCGAAGGGATCAAAGCCACGGGGCACTCAGGACAACAGGCAGAGTCCTGGCGTGGCCTAACCGCGGAGCTGCCCCGGAGGGTGCGGTCTCCGAGGCCGGGCTCACCTTCTGGTCTGAATTGGGCCCCGCCTGGCGGTACACCCCGGAGCCGTAGGCGAAAGCCAGGCTCAGCTCCTCGGGGAAGTGAGACAGGATCTTGCGGAAGGTCACTCCCGAGCTCTGCAGCGCCTGCAGGGCCATGGGGCCGGGGCCGGGGCCGGGGCCGGGGCCGGGCCGGGGCAGAGGCCCCCTGGC